GGGAGGGGGAGGGGGAGGATGTGAAATTTTTACAGCATCCGAAGAACGTGAGGGTATATCGGAGGAATCGGTGTTTCTGTGCGGAATTTCGATACTTTTGGTGGAAGAAGACGCGTTTTGAATTGATGTTTGAGAGATTTTGAAAAAGTTGTGGAAAGAAGTATAGAATAGAATTTTAGGCAATAAATAAAATTAAGGTAGAAAGAAAGTGATAAGATTGAAAATATTATTGGACATTGTGGAGATACAGATGAACGATAATAAGTTTTAGAAGTTGATAAATATTGAAACGAATAAGAGATTTTTAGTAGATTCGAAGTTAGAAATTATTCAGAATTCACGGAGAATATAAACAAATTCCAAATATAAATTTCAACAAGTAAAATTATCCAGAAACAATATTTGAGTTTGCGACTTGAAAATTGATTATTCCTTCGTATTTGGAGTAAATTTTGATTATATCTTCGAGTCATCTTCGAGCACATTGAAAAATCGAATTTTTTTTTATTATGAAGACACGAGAAACTATTTAATTATTGAAAATACAACGTCAAGCGAAGAATATTTCATATTTTTCGAAAATTAAGCTTGAGAAAAAAGATACTATGCATTGTTCATAAATGCAAGAAACGAGATCCTATCACTTATCTTCGTCGCCATACGATTCCAAGTCAATCGTCGATTCTTCATACAGATCCTTCGTGTTTTACGGACACGAAAATAAAATAGTCGCATAAAACGCGATTCGAACGAACAGCAAATAAAAAAAATCCTTTTCCTTCCTTAAAGTACGATTTAAAACTCTTGCGAAACTATCAGACAGCTTAACGAAAACAAGGATCGAAGATTTGAAGTACTCTGCGAAGTTTAATCCTCCCAAATCCTGACAAACAAACTTTCTATAAAACGAGTTATACTCCCAACTTCGGAGAGTAAAACTGATGCCACTTAAACTGTAAAACTATAAAATATTTAATCACGAGAAAAGATACGTAACACGCATGTATTTGCTCCAGATTTTTCAAAATAAATAAATTTTTACTCGTCTTTTCATCTTTCTTCTATTGCGTTCTTAAATGTAAATAAAAGTGACGAGATAACATTAGATCATAAAAAAGAAGAAATTTGGAATATATTGCTCTAAAATTTTCAAAGAAAGGAATTTATTAATGTAATGAATTTCCATTGATGTGAAATAGTACAAAGTCTATATTAACAAAATTGATCACAAAATCGAGAAATAAAATCTTAAATGCAAACTGTATATTATTAATGATCGTTTTAATCTCTATTGGTATGATGAGTATATAATTAATAGAAACTGCTAATACGATTATGAATAGAAATGCTCCTATTCTATTTCAATGTCTCAGAATGATCAAATTTTACACTAATATCACTGATCATAATTCACTTGTACTATGCAATCAGCATTAATAGAATTGATAACATAAGTACACTTTCAGAGTACTTAAACATTAAATCAGGAAATTTATAGAAGAAACATAGAATTTACATTACAAAAATATTATCTTCAAAATTTCTCATTATCACTTGTAATAAAACTAATAACCAAGTTTTGCTTTCCAAGAATACCCAATCAGAAAATTTAGAAAAAGACAAAATACAGAACTTTTACGTCAAAAGAATTCAAAAATAAAATTAGTGTCTAAATTCCTATTGGTAGAAAATTTTTCACATAACTTATAAAACCAAGATGAAGAATCATGATTAAACGATATCAAAGATATAACCAAAAGAAACTACGAAAAAGGAGTCTACGCAAACTTTATTGCACACATATATCCACGAATTCCAAGAAGAGCGGAGGATTGACCATCCCTTAAAATCCCACACTCGATAACTTTCGAAAACACTTATCTCAGTTTCCCCACAGCCACGCGTTTCCACGACTTTATGATCTAAAATCCCGCAATCTTCTTCCCCGACCTTTTCATCCCACCCTAGATCCGCGAAGAAATATGTTCACCGCCGCAAAATCTTAATCAACCTTCTAAACTCCCCATTGCGATGCGTAATCCATCCGACACTGCAACACTACAACTCCTATTTAAAATCACCGTGTGTATCCGTGTGTAAGCTTTATCGTTCCGGAAAGGAGCGACAAAGACAGGGGGGAAGAAAGACAAAAAGAGAAAGAGAAAGAGAGAAAGAGAGAAATCTGCGTCGATCGGACACCTGGCGCGGCCAGGTATTCACGCGTGGCGATCTCATCACTGGAGCGAAAACAAGCAGCAAAAGAATTACATTCTACTGGATATCGTTGGATCACGGTTGGCATCCGGTTAACTCGGTCGCGCGCACTTGCCAGCCTCTTCCGTTGATCACTTATAGACTTATTCACCAGAACCGGGTTAGAACCGAGCCACGAGCAAAACCGGGCATATATCACCGAGTATATCACCGATCAGACGAACGAGAAGCGGGCAAGGAATGGAGCCGTGCGCACTCGGCGACCGCCGCGGCAAGACTGGGGTCTGCTACCCGGCCGGGGCAGCTGCCATGGCAACCCGACCACCCCCGAAACCCACGATCGGCTCTTCTCGCTCTTTCCTCGGCTTTCCGCAATCGTCGCATCCCTTTCCAACTCGCTGCACCTTTCGCTGCACACACTCGCTCCTCTGTCCTCCTCTGTCCGCCGAGCTTTCACGCCTGCTTCTTTGTCTGTTGTACATTGTTGTCCTGCTCGCACCTACGACTTTTCTCTCTCTCTCTCTCTATTTCTCTATCTATCTACCTATCTCTCTTCTTTCCTCCTCCCCTCGCACGATGTTTCTCTCTGGAGCAGAGAGCAGAGCTGGCCTCGCGCAAGCTCCGATCGCTGCCGGAGGAAAAGTCGCAGAAGCTCGTGGCCTCCAGGAGAATCTCTGCCTTCAAGGATGATATTCTGTGTCCTTCTCTATGTAGAGTGGTGCGCGCGAGCGCGCGTGCATGGACGCTTTACCGCGCGATTCTTATGATTCTTATGGTCGGTTTGGTGATCTACTTCCGATGACACATTAGAGTTTTGTAACGATTTTGGATTTTATTGTATATACATTGTATTGTAACGTAGTGATTCAGGTTTTAAAATGTAGGATATCGTATCGTAAGAATTGGTATTTGTCTTTTTTTTAGAAACATGCATATCGAAGGATAATATATTGGATTATTCGTAGACAATTTTTTGTTCCTCTGTGAAAATTACGAATTTCTTTTTAATTCTTCACAAATAATTTCGATCATTGTTCTGCGTCGAATATAATTCCTTAATAGCGTCGAATATTAAGGAATAAGAGTGTGCAACGCCAAAACTCGATTAAACGTTTAAAACTTACTTTCTCGGAGAGAAACTTTTGCTTGCGAGAAGTTAACTTGAAACAACTGTTGCTAATAAAGAATTTGCCAGAGATTCTCTCGTTACTTGTATATCCCACTATAACGTGTTAAGTATCTAAAGTATAAATTTGATTTGTGATTGAATATTTGAATATTTTCGTTTATAACCTTGTTCCATCGATTTTTGATCGATTTAAAATTATTTTGATTAGATTTTCTATTATTAATTATCAATCTAACATTGAATATTCATAAGAAAAAATAGAATAACAATTCTATATAAATTGTTTCTGATATGAGTAAAGTTAAAATGTATTTATAAAAATAAGTATTTTTTTTAGTCTTCAAAATCATTCTACACGAAGAGAGAACAATAAGAATTCGTAAAAAGCTTTTTATCTATCTATATTTTCCATTTTTAATGGAAACTATCTACAAATCAATACAAGATTTGAATCGCAGTTCTTTTCACGTTCCATCAACTTTCTTCGATGGGAAATATTCTCTAAAGCACGACACAAATCTGGCTTTACCTTTTTTTAAATCCAGAAAAATATGTTTGATTGACGCACATTTCTAAAGAATATTCCGTACGTATACGAATATCCGACATTCAATTTATACGTTCCAAAAAGATTTTAAAATGAATAAGAACTCTACTTGTTTTATCACACCTGTAAAAATTAATTATCCGTGTATCCGTATACAAAAAATAATATGCATATTTAATATCCATGTAATACAATTTAATTTTCATCATATATGAACTTATAATTATATTTTATAAATTAAAATTTTAATTAATACCGAATCACAAAATTTTTTGATATACAATTTTTAATCCAATATCTGCCACTGTTAATTTCGATGGATCTCGCATCAATTTTTCAAAATCCATTTTATACTCCAATCAGAGATTGAATTCCTATGTATTTTAAGGTTTCGATGTTGTACCAGTATTTGTTATTGTTATTATATATTTGATAAAATTTTTTTTTTAATCCGATATCGCGTACGCATACTGATATTTTTATATTTATATATATCGTTATTTGACATCTATACTTATACGAATAATTTAAATCGATCATCTTATCGACATGATTCAATTGTATTAGAAAAACCTAAAGAAAAAAATAATAAGTTCATTTTTGTATCGAATGAAAAGAAACGTTTCAAAAATAATAGAAAAATTATATTTTTAATTACTAATTGTTGTTATTTTTTCAATAAAATTTTGTAATTTTTAAAATCAATATTATTTAACTTGATTTATTAGTTGATTGACAAACTGGATGTTATTCTTCACTTATATTCAGATAAAACTTATTACCTTTTTATCAGAATATTGAACTGCCATTACTTGCTACATCTACCGTCAATTTACATTCCAAACGAAAGAATTTTATTTTCTTCGAACATTCTTCCACACTTCTTCCATTTCAAACAGAAAATATGCAACTTTAAAACGTCTCGTATTGAAATAATATTTTTGCTCAAAGGTGAAGAACATATAATTTTGTAACAATATTCGAATATCACTTTTGCAAATTTGATCTTGCTAGAAATATAAACAATGAATATATTAACATACCAAGCAAAGATCAAGAAAAAGTTAAAGGAAAGAGAGAGAGAAAAAAAAGAAGAAAAAGAATCAGAGACGATCATAAATCCAACGATTATTCGTCGTCCGTCTTAGAAAAGGGAATAAAACGAGCATCGCCTTTGTCATTCTTTGGAATGCACTCGAAACTATCGTTTTATCCCAGATGAATGCTAGGGTTGAAAAAAGACGCTAGCTTCTGATGGATTCTCTCGCTCCACTGTCTTCCTCCTAAGGCGACCGGTATAGATTACAAAGGAACAGCTTGTAGGAATGTCGAGTTGGTTCCTCACCGGGTGAGAAATACCAACTCTTGAATTTCTTCTTCCTGTATCCGTGCATCGGTTTCCCGTGGAATAAACGACTTCATTTTCACGCGCTTCACAAGAGGGTGTCGTTGTTCATTCACTTTGCAACAATTGTCATTAACATTCTTATTTTACGCCAATCAAATGTATGTATGTACAAACATTTTCGAAATCGATTTTATCCTTTGTTGTCTTTCGTCCTCGTCGAGTTTCAGATTTCAAGAAAGAATTATATTTCATGATGAAATTATGAATCGTAGATTTGTAAGTTTCTTTCTCATTTAAATAGAATAATCTTCGATGATAATTTCGTTGAATGAGTACCGATAAAATTTTACTTTATTATTAAACGTGTGTTGTTCTACGTGTAAAACAATTTGTGTAAAACATTCATAATAATGATAATATTAATATTACATTACGTAACACGTTTCAATATCAATATTACAACTGTAACACAATATTCCCTAATAATGTTATTTCAATTGTGCAAGTGAACCGTGGTAATAAGTCCCTCCATACGATTTCCCACTCTGTATCCCAGAACAACAACAAACAACGCCAAACTCCGCCATAAAGAAAGTCAAACATCTCAAAGGGGCGATGCATGTACAATAGCTAAAAAGAAAGCCGAAAAAGAAACATATGGAGTAAAACTATGCGAATATTTAACGTGCGAGACAAAGAGGGGTAAAAACAAGGAGGAGGGAAGAAATAGACGAGGAGAGGAAATTCTAAGAGGGAAAATTCTGGATGGTGGAAAAAGAAACTCAAGGGAAGCAAGCTGGAGAAGAGTAAGAATAATAGAGTTCGTGTTGAAGAAGAGAAGGGGTCGAAAAAAAGGGGTTGCATAAGGGTTAAAGCAAATTTATCGTTAATAATTATCTTTTAAGAATGAAGGATTTAAGTTAATTGTGGTCTGGACAACGAGTTCTATCTGTCTTATGAGTATTTTATAACAATTGGATTGTAAAATTTATTTTCTTAGAAATATATATATTTACTAATAAATTATCAAATATGAAAAAAGTAATTCTAATTGAAATTGAAAAACTATCTTCTTTTCAAATATTATTGTTTTATATCCAAACTTAACCAAAGATCTCTTTTTAGATATGTCTTCTTTAATATAACCAATAACAACAGAAGATAATTTTAAAAATTAATAATTCAATGTTGGGAAACATTTCGTTCGTACATATCCATTCCCAATCCAAATACACTTAAAACAGCAATAGGGCCGGTAATGCATTCTTCTCTCTTGAAACGGGAGAATTCCTTTCGAATCATCGAACAAAATAACTCTCGACTACCCTACTACACCCTCCCCTCCCCTCCCCCATTGACATCCACCCTCTGCAGAAACATTTCCCAGAAATGTTACCGGGAAACGAAACCGA